GGTGTGTCTGTCACAGGCAGAGGGTGATGGACACACTGAATCAGAATCAAAAGATCTTTCGCACTGAGGGAGATTTCTTTTTTCCTTTGTTTTGTGTCCAGTTTGAAATTGTAAACTAATTTCCTGAAATAAGCAGAAAATGATGACCATTTGAAGGTAAAATATAGTATAAGACAAGAGGTCCTAACCCCAGGGGAGGATAATCACTCCTCGGCCACTCATCCCTAAAATAAATCATGATGTCATCGTGCACACTCCAAATGTGGATCGCACCGGCAAAAAATAAGGTCATGTGTGCACTTGACTAATGCACAAGGAGAGAAAAGGGAAGGATAGCGGAGTGGCAGGAGGAAAAGGAGCAGAGCTGAAGGACTGTTTGAAATATTCAACCCCCATCCATTAACTAACCATGTAGGGATAGAACACGACCGGCACTGTACATCTCATCCAGGCGCAAGGATAAAAGACAGCCGGAGATGGTGCACGGTGGGAGTGGAGCGCTTTCATCCCGGAGCCCTTAAATCCAGCTCAGCATTTTCTCAGTGATGTCATCTTTTTCCCTGGCACTTCACCTCTATCTGCTCCCACACTGCATTACTTTGCCCATCTCACATGCTCACATCGCCTCTCCTCTGCACAACTCTCCGTGCATTACAATGAGAGGTGCATCTTCTTACAGAGCACGCATGGATCTCTACAATCTGCTTGCACTCATGTCTTCAGCCTCATCTCCAGTTTAGGTGGGAAAAGTTTAGTGCACTTCATCCCCACTTCAAGGGCCATGCAGTCATCTGACAGGAGAACACGGTAACAAACAAGGAAATGGCTGCCAGCTGTACAGACAGGGGGGAAACACTCTGCTCATAGCTTTTTATTGGGTATGATGAGAAACCAAAGTCATGGGGAGAAGAGAACGAGAGGACCAGGCCAGGATACCTCAGTTAGGAAAAAAAAGGGACTTAGAAGCCATTCAGTTTTACAGCCTGGGTGTCATACTATATATTTGCACAGCAGACATGTAGAGCCTCAAACATCCAAAGACTGGAAGTCTTTGGATGTTGTGGGAGAGATGGGGAAAGACAGCTCTACTTTAATATTGTGGAAAAGCCATCTGCAGAAAGCAAATACATTGTAGGATATGATTTATTAAGCCATGATTTATTGATACGAACGGAAACCACTATGCATAAAAATCCAGTCGTTAAACTGTTCTATGCCCTTCTGGAGAATTACATACATTTTATTAACTGCAAAATGAAAGTATTGCCTCAATGAATTATGGAAAACAAATTGGAGAGCCTTGATGATATGTGTGTTATTTATTTATTAGTACATATTAGCATATAGCTACAAAGCAGTATATATGATTCTCAAACACCACACTTTATAATTGATTTTATAAAACTCTTGATCACGGCTGAATTAAGAAAATAAGAAGGTGCTGATTGGGGGCCAACGGTATAAAGAGGTCGTAATGGAAGTATTTTGACCCATTACTTTTGTTTGACATGAGATGAGATATTCTTATTTGGTAGCTGAACAAAATGAGTTTGGACTGAATCAGTTTAAGTTAGAAGTAAGTGTTGGGTTGAAATTTTAGCACACGTTAAATGTTAGGCTTTCTTTCCTGAGAAAATTAGGCTTAAAATGAGGTAAAACATGCCATAGCACACCGTACCATCAGTGCTGCAAGTTAATGGTTGTTGCACTTCACTGCAAGAAGGCCCTGGGTTTGATTCCCCCTCTAGCCCTTATGTGGAATTTGCATGTTCTCCCCATGTCTGCTTATGTTGGCTCCGGTTTCCCCTACCACTAAAAACATGTACATTAGGAATTAAAGTAATGCCAGGGAATGGATTATGACTGTGAGAACTGAATGGGATCTACTGTTACACCAAAATTGCAAAGTGCTTTGTGAGCTTGGTCTGTGAAATGCACTTTAAAAATAACGTTTTTTTACTTAATTGAATTTAATTTCAGGGGTCACAAAAATCATCTTGCGGGCTTGAGTTTGACATGCCTGCTTTAATGATGTGCAGCTTGTAGACTATACATACAGTATATTGTAAATGTCTCCATAGTGAGATCAATTACGTTTATCTGATCTTATACCACTACAGAAGAATACATATTTGAATAACCCTTTTCATTCACTTAAATGTTGTGTATTCTGCATTGTTCTCCTAATCCACGACATACGGTTGGAACCACACAAAAAAGTCTTGTTCTACTACTAACTTTGATCATTTAATATTTTACGAGAGCGGCTGTTGTGCAGAGGAAACAGACTTTAACAATTCTGTCCGTAACCATTATCAAAGCCTGAACCACATATTACGAGTCAGCTCATTGAATGGCCTCACAATAGCCTCGTCTTGCATCAGTACTGGTCCTTTCTACCAACAGCTGCCGGTTGCCAAGTCAGGCAAAATGTTAAGCCATTTTATCTCCATTTGGCTCTATTCTTATGCTAGACAAACGCATCAGGTTTCATTTGGTTTTACACTAAGGGCACGTTGACCATTATCTACTGTAGTTAAGACCAAGGATATGCGCCACTTCCAACCGCACAAACTGTCACTTAAAATTGCATTATCTTCTCCTTTAACTCTCTGTTCTTGTTTTATAGCAGTTTGCTTTACTATCACTTAATAGTCTGTTTATACGGCCTATATAAAATACAATAGACGCAGTGTGTGTCCTCATTCTTCACAAACGAGTAATCTGATCTCCGTCTCTCTATCGGGGCGAAAGAGAGACATTAAAGACGCACTGTCAGCACACTAACACCAGGTCGATGAGGAAAGCACATACGAGTTTATCTCACTTTTGAAGGAACAGTCCGCTCCTGGAGGTAGCTGAAAACACATATCGCTTGGCAAACAATACTATTCTCTTCCAGTTTACTTGTGGGTTCTGAGAGGTTTTTTTGTTGTCGTCGTAGAGGGAATTAGGATCAGGTCCCCGTTGGTGGAAATAGCAGTTACTTGGGAAGGCTGATTTTTTGGTGATTTGATGTGAAGGTTGGCTGGAGTGATATCTTCATCCTTGCATCGGAGGTTGAAACACAGATTTTTTAAGGCAGGCCTTAAAAGCTCTAGCCTTTCCAAGTGGCTTTGAGCTTTGACAGGCTTTTTGTTTTGTTAAAAAGTATTTTAACTCAAGACAAAAAGAACCTTTGTGAATTCTGTGCTAGGGGACACGTGCAACAAGAAGGTCCTGGGTTCGAATCCGGCCTGAAAAGGGCCCGAGTGGAGCTTGCACGTTCTCCCCACATGTTCGATAGGTCTGGCATGCCTCCTGTACTGGTGACCCTGCTCCTTATAGATCCATGCCCCGCTCCCATCTCTGAGTTGAGTGAGACAAATTCCCACAATTGTAAAGCGCTTTGTGACTCTGGTCTGTGAAAGGCGCAATATAAATAAAGATTACTTACTTAGATAATGAACTTGAGGAAATGGGAGAGACAGAGAAAGCGCAAGACAGCAGTATTGCGGGAACTCTTGCAGTTACAAATCATGTGTCACTACGGGGGTGGTGTTCCAGGCAAGAATCAATGACCTTCTCCTCTGTGATAGCAGAGTTGGGTTTGCGAGGTCATGCAACGAGACCTTTGGAAGAGCCAGCATTCGCGGTGGCAGCTGTAGGGCTACACTTACAGTAACCTTGGCCTTTTTGCATAATGGAGTCAGTGTCTGTGTGCTTTTATAGGCTGTATTACAGTAAGACAGCTCAATGCTCAACAGATCATTACTTTGTCAAAACAGCCTTCAAACTACACTGGCGCATGCTTTTGTGGCACGGGTAAGTCCAAAAGTGCCGATGGTAGCCAGAGGAGATAAATCAAAGAAGAACAAGCCATTTCAACACAATTTTTTGGATAAATTACCATTTTATTTTTACAATTCAACGTTTAACTTAGAAACAGATTGCCTTGTATTGGTTTAAGTGATACACACTCAAAACAATCTTTTTCAGGAAGTAGATCTCATCAACCGTGATTCATCAGGGGCAAACTTAATGTCAGAGTTCCTACTTTTGAAACAACAAAAATAACTACGTACTCAAACCCATATATCTCGGAATAGAATAGAAGTTTTATTTCAGTTCAATTCAATGTATTTTTGCCAACACAGATCAGAGATGATAAAAAAACACATAGAGCCATTGGTCCATAAGGGACAGATGACCAATGTCCATAAATGTTGATTAATGTTCATAAATATTTGTCATTGTCAGATATACAACAAAGAAATGCAGTATGTTCATGGTCAGAGAAGGTCAAATTTGCATAAAATAGTGGCTACAGTGAGTTGCGGTAAATGTTGGGACCAATGGCTTTTATTGTTTGCAGATAGAAATGTTTTAAATCTGGTGGGGGTTTTTTATGACACAAAAAAAATTGAGGTACTCCAGCTTGAAATAAAAATACCCAAAAGCCAACTGGAAAATGGATCATGGATGGATGGATCATGATTGACTGTATTTTCGGTGGTAAGCGGATGGCTGTGTTGATGTAATTTCACTATCTCAACTGGCTAAACATAGATCATTTTTTCCATCATATTTCAGGTAACAAAGACAATATATACAATATGCCGGAAGGGACACATGAAGGTGACAATGCAAATGTTACGGGGGAAATTGGGACAGTAAGCACAGGTTGTTCAAGGGAACAAGGACTGGATGGTGGATTTGATTTATTAATATGGCACTGAGCCACTCTCCTCCTCCTGTTATTATGTCCTGGCTCAGCTTACGACACCAAGGCCTGGTTATCTCATGTTCAGCAGAGCCCTGTGTGTGCGCTCCCCTCCTACACATTGTACGCTCATTCTTCCTTTTTGCTACACACGATTCATCCGGAAATAGAAAACGGTGACATCAGCGCTGCCCGTTGTGAATCGATATTTCTTGCTGCCGACCGGACGCCCACGCTCGAGCAGGAGAAGGCGCGCTTTGTTTTTTTTTTTTTTTTCATTCTCTTCCCGGGTTTAGCATCAAAGTCCAAACCACTCCGAGACCCCTCCTCTCCGGGGGTCAAGTCGCTGCCTCTGCTTCTCATCCTCCATGAATTTCTCCTGCATCTCCTCCACCGAGCCCTCCGCCGGTTTCGTCTCCTTGTCGGGGAACAGGTCGGGGAAAGTGAAGCTCTCGCCCTGCGCCTGCGAACGCAAAAAAAAAAAAAAAAAAAAAAACAGACAAAAATAACGATTAGCTTAGCATTTAATGAGCGCACTTTTTTTTCAGCGTTAAAATCGAAAGTATTGAGTAAGGATGCCACGGTTTTCCCCCCAAAGTTTGCTATGGCACTGGGTTTCTCTTGCACACATTTAATCCCTCTCCATTTCGTGATTTATTCAAAGGAAGAGGGTAGTATCCATTATTTATTCCATACCAACTCATCTCTGGTTGTAGCTAATGCATCAGCGGTCCGGGACTGTCTGTCAGCCATAAAGTACAGTACACTACACTACATGGTGCCTGTGTTCCCGCTACCACCCACACCACAACGCTACAGCCCCCCTTCTGCACACCCAAATGAAAGGGTCAGTGGGTGCAGTTTGAGATCATTAGCCTTTACCTCTGTGGACTTTCTTAAAGCCTCTGCCACTGGCCCCCAGCAACAGGAATTCACCAGCAGCAGAAGCCATGCACGCTGCGACGGCTTCAAAGTGACCGATTTAAAGAAGACATAACGTGTTTCTACGGCAGCACGATTTATTGCTAATTCTGTGGTCGCGATGATCAAATTGCAAAGTCTGTCAACAAAAATGGAAGTTAAGAAAAAAATAATAAATGACTTGCAATTTTGAAATTGATTTGGGAATATTTCAGAAGCATTTTTTTCTCATTACGTTAATATTTTATAAGCTGAAGCTACTTCAAGTTTATTTCAAGTTTAATATGTTTGCAGTAAAATCTTGTATTTCTACTCAGGGGGGAATCCCACAAGATGTCACAGGAATGTTCTGGTCATATGAGCACAATATTTAACTATAGAACACAATTCAGATGAACAGTTCAAAGTAATAATTTCATAATTCATGATTCATAAGTCATAATTTGCCTGTTGTGTTGACGAGATGTTTTACCCTTTGTGAAAACAATTTCCCAATGCGAATTCTCTATTGGCACCTTAATTCAATTGTCTATTCATTTTTCAAATGGCTATGCATTATGTTATTTTAGTATTTATTTTGTATTTGTATTTGTCAAAGTGTAATGTTATATCCAATTTTGACATTTAATGTTCTATTCCAAAAGTTCTAATGGCAATTCAATATGTAAAGTGTCGATACGATGTCTTTATATATTGCAAATTACACGATTTTGAAATGAATAGCATATTGACATGGACATTTGGCCTCTTTATTCATTGTTCTATTCATTCTTAACATGGCATTTAGTTTAAAGTTGTATTTGGCAAAATTGCATGTTATATCCTATTTTGACTTGTATTCCACATTTGAGTATGTTAAGTTTCATTTAATGTGTTGTGAAACAGCACCTCCCTCTGGATTGCATTTCATATTGCATATTGCATTGCCACATGGTTTGAGTGCAATTTAATTCAATATGCTATGCAGTTCTTGACCCCTGAGAAGGCGGGCCCTGGTCCGCTCTCGGCCAATCAGAGACGAGTCTATATCCTCCTAGCTAGATGCGCTGTGTTGTTCATTTTTGCTGGAAGTAAATGCTGTTATGACAGATTGGAAGTAACAGATCTATACTTAGTCTATACTTACATAGAACCTCCTTGGAGTAACTTGGAATCTTCATGAAGGGTGATCTGTTACTTCCAATCCGTCATGTTACGTCATCCAATGTTATGGATGAGAGTCTGGTAATCAATAATCCGGATTTAAAATGTTAGAGCCAGACTACACCAGCGTCATCGAGGAATACACCATCCTAAAGCCAAACTCCACAGGCAGTTGGCAATAGGACATTCAGAAGAGGAACAGGAGACTAGTGTCTACTAATGTAGACCACAGCGCTAGATCACTCACAGCAGCTGAGCCAAAGACAATTAAATCCAAGTTGAACCAACACTGTCGCATGACAATTCCCAGTTAGACAGTGCAGTGCTAGACACCTTGTGTATACACACGCCAGAGATTAATAATGGCCTTCGCAAGAGTGATTCACAAAAACAACAAAGACTTGAGATTGAAGTCAACAAAGCGCTAAGTCTTGTTAAACAAGTCTTTTTGTTGGCAGCAATGTGAGTGTGTGAGCCCAGCGTCTGTTGCACACATTTCCGCAGTCAGAGAAAGTGCAGCCTCAATGCATTCATACTATTGGTCAAATATACACATATAGACAAGAGCAGCAGCCGATCCCTCTGCTCCAGTCCCCACACCAGCTATGAGCTATTAAACATCTTTCCTCTGTCATCACTCTAGACACTTGCAACTGTAGTGACTGTTCAGCGGTATAAAGTACAGACCAAAAGTTTGGACACACCTTCTCATTCAGAGTTTTTTATTTTCATGAGTATAAAAATTGTAGATTCACACTGAAGGCATCAAAACTATGAATTAACTCATGTGGAATTATACTAAAAATGAAACAACTGAAAATATGTCTTGTATTCAAGGTTCTTCAAAGTAGCACCTTTTGCTCTGATTACTGCTTTGCACACTCTTGGAATTCTCTTGATGAGCTTCAAGAGGTAGTGACCTGAAATGGTCTTCAATAGTCTTGAAGGAGTTCCCAGAGATGCTTAGCACTTGTTGGCCCTTTCGCCTTCACTCTGTGGTCCAGCTCACCCCAAAACCATCTGGATTGGGTTCAGGTCCAGTGACTGTGGAGGTCATCTGGCCCAGCACTCATCACTCTCCTTATTGGTTAAATAGCCCTTACACAGCCTAAGTGTGAATCTACAGTCAATAGTAGGGCTGGGCGATAAAACGATAACGATATATATCGCGATAGACATGTGTTCGATATCAATAGAGAATGGGGTCGATAGAATGTTCGATAGTTTAACTTAACTCCGTCAGGAAAAACAGTAAGAAAACACCGGAAGTAAAGCCGACTCATAAGCGCATGGCATTGTGGGGGATGTAGGCAGAGGCTTCTCGACCAATAACAGCCGAGCAGGAACCGCAAAACTTTGTGGGAAATGCAAAAACAACAACAACCGCACCATGCGTAGCGTCCATGGATCTATAGCTTGTGTTTCAATGCCGTGTCAATGGTTATGCACGTACATGCGCGGAATAACATGTGCGGCGGCAGAGGCAGTGGACAGACACGATGTATTCGGCGAAAGCAAGAGATTAACTTTTTCCTCGGGAAGCATGTGCGGCACAGAGAGCCGCACGGAGCGGTCACGGGGACACAAGACCCTCAAACAGCTAAACCAGGAGCTAAACCAGGAATAAAAAACCAGGATTAAACCAGGACTAACAACGAGGGACACAGTGTGAACATATTCCTCCAGCCTCATCGCCCCGTGACTGTAAACAAGGCTGCTAAGGTTGGTTAGCCCACACGACAAATATATTTATTTAGGTAAAAAAAAAAAAACTCAATATATATCGTTATCGACCGATATGAATGACCTATATCGTGATATAGTTTTCAGCCATATCGCCCAGCCCTAGTCAATAGTCTTGAGTCGGTATCGGGCCGCACATAACATTATCTGATTTTTTTTTTTTTTTTAATGGACCAGATTTTCTTAGCAACTTTTTCCTATTATGCACTCTGCATGACCTATTGATGTATGTCCACTGACACCCACACCTGGGGCCAAGCAAGATGTAGAAACATATTTTAAAAGTTTCATGGTGCTGGGTAGGAGTACCAGTGCAGACAGAAGAAGGGCCTGTGTCTCCAATGACAAAGAAACTTGTCTTTAAATAGACAAAACCCGGAGTGCTACTTTAAGGATTTATTGTGATGGACTTATTATTCCAACACAAAGCTCACTCTTCTTAACTGGCAGCAGGGTTTTCTGCAGTGAACGCAAACCCAAAACAAAATGACAGATTGGACATTGGTGGCCCATCCACCAGGCTCTCTACAGTCTTTAGCATCATCTATTTTCTGCCAACAATCTCGGGAGCTTCAGGCAAAGTGGGGTTAAGTGTCTTGCCCAAAGACACAACGGCAGCAGTTATCAGCGGAAGTCGTGAAGTAGGTCTTATGGTGGGCTCAAACCCACAACCTTCAGGCTCAAAGGCCAATGCTCTACCAACTGAGCCACTGTCACCCACACACAGAGAACCAGCGTTCTCAAAGTTGGGCACGTGCAACTGAATGAGCGTGAGCATGAGAAGAGGGGACACATGATGCCACAATGAGGCCAATCATTGCCGTACACATATTTTGAACTGTCTTCTTAAAGAAGCTATACCTGATTTTTTTTTTTTATGAGAAAAAATGCTTATTACTACATACAAGTTGTATTATAATCCATAATTTAATTGAAAACTGGACCTCATTGATTCAGCTTTTGTATAATTCAGACTTAGAGGCTTAGCGGGCCACTCGCTCTCCTCCACTCACAGAACAAGCAGCAAACAAGCTGCGTCCTCTAGCCTCTACAGCACTGAGCTTTGACTTCGAAATTCGAATATAATTTGAAAATTTAAATTTAAATTTAAAAAAAAAAATATATATATATATATATATATATATATATATATATATATATTCAAACGAATATTAGACAGCCCTTAATATTCAAAATGTATTTAATCACTGCAAATAAAATAGTTAGCTACCAAAGGTTTTGCCGTGACGTGCTAGGTGGGTAAAAGCTAAGCTAGCTAGTTCAAAAACTCTCTGGCACTACATGAAAACTGTAGTTTTCATCAGCGGTGAGTTACCCGTTTATATACCGAACCTAAATCCATTATCAGATCTTCTTCAAATTTGTTTTCAAATGTTCGTTTCATGTTAATGGTTACTTCCGGGTTTATCTCGATCACTTTTTGTCACATTATTTTTTACAGTATTTTTATCATGAAAACGTTAACAAATCATTCGGAAAACCTCTGTGCATGTGTGTTAAGGCTGTATATGTATAATGTATTCTCCGATAACATTTAAAGGTGTTGATTGATTGATTGGTACATTGGTTGCACAGAAGTAGTGACAGTCACTGAAAGCTTGTTGTACTTGCGGAGTAATGTTAGTATTTAACACA